TGAAGTGCTACATATTAGGCTAGTTCAGCTATTATTGATTTGACCCAGGGTGTGAAAAGTCTGTGTGCATGGAAAAGATTACAAAAACCCTTCAAAAGCAAGAGAGAGGAAAGGAAGGAGGGGGGGAATCACTTCCCTAAACCCTTAGGTCCAATCTTCTTAATTTATATGTGTTCTTCATTTTAATATTGTTATTATTTTTAACTGCAATCCTTCCATCACTGCATTTTTGAGCTGTAGACATGTTAGCCCTTAGGGTTGGTAGGAATGAGTCCAGAGGAGGCCAATAAGTTGATCACAGGGCTGGAACACCTCTACTATGGAGCCAGGCTGAGAGAGCTGGGTTGGTCAGCCTGGAGAAGAGAAGGCTCTGGGGAGACCTTAGAGCTCCTTCCAGTGCCTCAGGGGACTCAAGGAGAGCTTGAGAAAGACTTAGGACAAGGGTCTGGAGTGACAGGACAAGGGGAATGGCATCCCACTGCCAGAGGGCAGGAACAGATGGGATATTGGGAATGAATTCTTCCCTATAAGGATGGTGAGACAATGGCACATGTTGCTCAGAGAAACTGTGGCTGCTCCATCCCTGGGAGTGTCCCATGCCAGGTTGGATGGGGCTTGGAGCAACCTGGGCTGGTGGAAGGTGTCCCTGCCCATGGCCCAGGTGGAAATGAGATGATCTTCAAGGTCCTTCCAACCCAAACCTCTCTGTGATACTGTGATTCTATGGTTGTCCCAGTTCACTGTCTTGACTGAAACCTTAGCAGTGCCCAAGGAGGCAGAGCCTGGTGGGGATCCCTTCAAAGCTAGGGTGAGGGTCCAACCTCAATGATTTTATGATTCTATAACTCCATTTCAGAACAGCCTGATTTCTGGAGGTGTTTATAACACATCTCCCAGGAATTGTCTCACACTGTGCACATCTCTCCATTGCTGGGCAGGATTTAGGAGCACAGATTCACAGAACTCAGGGATGGTGCAGAGGATTTACCCTCTGGGAACACGCAAAGCCTGACTGGGGAAGTGAGAGAAGTTCCTAAAAGAGTTAGTAAAACCTTGGAGATGGGCTCATACAGTGTCTATTCCTGCATCCCAGTCCCTCCCCAGCCTGGCTGCCAGCAGATGGCACACACAGTCCATCTGCCTTGGGCTGTGCCTCCTCTGTTTGGCAGCACTTGGAAATCCTGGGGATACCCAGGATGGCTCCAGACTCTGCCTTTCACTGCTGTCTCCTCTGTGGTGACATCCAGCATGAGCTTCCTGGGAGCTGATGTCTCTGCAGCAGTGCTCTTTGTTTGGAAATCTCTCTACACCTAGTAAAGCCTCACCCTATGGCCA